AGACTGATGCTAAAGCCAAAACTCCAATACTCTGGCCACCTGATGCGAAGAGCTGACTCACTGGAAAAGACCCTAAGGCTGGAAAAGATTGATGGCCGAAGGAGAAGGGGAAAACAGAGGATGAGATGGTTGGATGGCATCATCGACTCGATGGACATGGGTTTGTGTGGACTCTGGGAGATGCTGATGGACAAGGAGGCCTGGCATGCTGTGGTTCATGGGGTCGCAAAGAGTCAGACACAACTGAGCGACTGAACTTAACTGATGCTGGGAAAGATTGAACGCAGGAGGAGAAGGGGACGACAGAGGTTGAGATGGTTGGATGGCATCACCGACTTGAAGGACATGAATTTGAGCAAGCTCCGGGAGATGGTGAAGGACAGGGAAGCCTGGTGTGTTGCAGCCCATGGAGTTGCAAAGAGTTGGACATGATTGAGTGACTGAACTGAAATGAACTGGACTTTCAAGGTACCGTATTATAAGATTTAAAATGTTTTCCATATTTTGTGTGTTTGTTTTTATGCATTATTTGTGTGAAAATTGTTATAAACCTGTTACAATATAGTATATACAGATATTGTGTTATTTGAATACCTAGGTTAACAAATTGGACTTATGAACACACTCTTAGAACAAAATTCATTCATATGTAGGGACTTACAGTATCTGAAAAACAGCTCAAAGACAATGTTATTGCTTGAGGGGAGAACCAGGACTCCTGCCCCAAGGCTTCACTGTGGTCCAGTTACATTTTATTTATATATTTTTGGTTGTGCTGGGTCTTGGCTGCTGCACTCGGGCTTTCTCTAGCTGTGATGATGGGGGGCTACTCTTTGTCGCGGAGCATGGGCTTCTCATTGTCATGGCTTCTCTTGCTCTGGAGCACAGGCTCTAGGCAGGCAGGCCGTAGTAGTTGCAGACGCAGGCTCAGTAGTTGTGATGTAGTTGCTCCATGGCAAAAGGATCCTCCCAGACCAGGGATCGAACCTGTGTCCCCTGCATTGGCAGGTGGATTCTTATCCACTGTGCCACTGGGAAGTCCTAGATATATTTTAAAACAGAGGACAGCCTTAAGTCCCCAATTCCTTATCTAGGAAAAGGCACTGGTTGTGATGGGGAGGATCCCAAGTGGGGAGGACCTCTGTCTGATATCCCACAACTCCACCAACCTTCAGAGCTAAACTCAAGGAAGGGACCACTAAGATAGAATGAGCCTCCACCAGGTGAGCCTGGGAAAAACACACCTCTAACTAGTGGTGTGCTGCAGCCAGTTCATGCCAGCACGGGGAGCTGATGCTAAACTTTCATGAATTTCTTGAGCCAAGTTGTTAAACTGTTGGTAGCTTGAAACCAGCCATGGCAGAGAGTCTTACACGACAAAACTCTGCACATGCTACAAGTACCGGGCGGAGGAATCATGACTCCCCCCCAACCCCCGCTGCCACCTGCTAACCCCAGCCATTAAACATTTCTGTGTACACCACTGCATCTAACTCCATATCTGTTGCTCCATTCCCACTGGAAAGGGAGGAAAGGAGCTGTTCCAGGTTGAATATCAGTAGGAAATGTCAATACACTCCAGGAATCTTGCCTGGGAAGTCCCTCGAACCGAGGAGCCTGGCTGGCTCCAGTCCATGGGGTTGCAAAGAGTCAGACATGACTTAATGATTAAACAACAACACTCCATCTCCAGGGCGACCAGCAGAGGCCAGGACAGGGCTTCTGTCAATCTCTCCATCACACCCCCTCTCCCAACAATATATACCAGATCTCTAAACACCCTCTACCAAGGTGACGGATCGCTTGGTCATTTCCCTTCCTGAGCTGTTCCCAGGGCCCATGCCCCAGCCTGGATCAACCTGTTCCCCTAGATGCCTTGGGCAGGAGCTGCTAGATTTGGTCCCAGTGTGGGACAAGTAGACCCCACCTACGGCCACATCAGGGGAGCAGTCATACCCTGATCTTCATGTGGTCGGATGGGAAGGAATTTCCATTGGCTGCCCCAGTGGGAAAAGAATAAAACATCTGGGTCCTCTCTGATAGGTGAACTTGGAAAAAAGAACCAAGGGTACCCAGCTCAGCCCCCTTTCCTGTCTCCTGGCTCTGCCCACCACAAAGCAGGCACGCTGAACTAGCAGGCAGGTGGTGAGCCTGCAAAGCCACACACACCCTCCTACCCAGCGCCAGTCAGAAGCAACACTCATGGATAAACAATACGGTCCTAGAGACTTAACTTGGTCCAGTGGTTAGGACTCCATGCTTCCACTGCTGGGGGCACAGGTTTGATCCCTGGTCGGGGAACTAAGATCTCACAAGCTGTGAGGTGTGGCCAGAAAAGAAAAAAAAAAAAAAAAACTCAACAAGGTCCTATTGCATAGCACAGGGAACTATATTCAATGGGTACTAAGCTGCTTCAGTCCTATCTGATTCTGTGACCCTATGGACTGCCGCCCACCAGGCTCCTCTGCCCATGGGATTCTCCAGGCAAGAATACTGGAGTGGGTTGCCATGCCCTCCTCCACAGGGTCTTCCTAACCCAGGGATCGAACCAGCATCTCCTCCTGCATTGGCAGGTAGATTCTTTACCACTGAGCCACCTGGGAAGTCCATTATATTCAATGTCCTGGGATAAACCATAGTGGAAAAACCATATAAAAAAGAATGTATAAGGATTCCCCTGGTGGTCCAGTGGTTAAGACACCCTGCTTCTGAGAGAGTTAAAGCTTAGGGCCCTTTAAAGAGGAGGCCAACACTCTCACTCATGCTTTCCTTAAGCCTTGTGCTTAAGCCTTGTGTGTATCTTGCCTGAGAACTGGCCTTTCTTTAGGTCTGGAACCAATGACTGCACAATGTCTTACTCATGGAAATGCTTTTTGTAGATTCTACCAATAATTATAATTGTAACAAATCTTGCCTGGGAACCTGCTTCTCAAGACTTTTAGCCCTGATGACACAGCAATAGTATATCTCGACTGGAGACATTGGCCGGGACCATTCCCCCTGGCTAATCTTGTGCCAAAGTTATCACAAGATGTATGCCTTGGGAAAGGGTATGGTGAAACTTTTACAAACCTTGAGGTATTATTTTTATTTATTTCTACTAGCTGGCAGAAGAGTATATAATGCCCTGCCCAAACTAGCAAGCCAGGTATTCTCCTGCCCCTTTCTGATGTCTATGTCAGAAGCTTTTTCTGTCACTTTCACTTCGAATAAAAATCTACACAAAGCTCTGAGTGACTTTTGGTCTGGAGTTAAATCTCCTTTAGGGACCACAAATCTGGCAACACCATTCACTGTAATCTTCTTTCACTTCCACTACAGGGGGCACAGGTTTGATCCCTGGTTGGGAAACTAAGATCACACATGCCATGTTGCAAAAAAAAAAAAAAAAAAAGGATATACATACATATATGTATAACTGAGTCATGAGTCACTTTGCTGTATGGTAGAAATGAACACAACATTGTAAATCAACTCTACTTCAAAAAAAACACAAAACACCTCATTTCAAGGGTAGGCGTTTAGGATCGCTATCTGTCTGCCACCTGCATCTTTCAAGTGGTTCAGACTCAAAAGGCAGGAAAACGAGTTGCTACTTACTGAACCCCTAAAACCAAAGCCACCTGTGAGGCCCTTCCAACGTCTCCCCATCATGTCTGATTTCACTTTCTATTGTTCACCCCTTGTTCCCTCGGCCACTCGGACCTTCTTCCCATCCTCAGAAAATGCCAAGTTTATTATTTCCATCTTAGGTCTTTGCTTCTTTTGTCTTTCCTAGTGCTCCCCAGGGCTGGTTCCTCATTGCCTCCCAGGTTTCCCCTCAGAGAAGCCCACTCTATCTACCCAACCAAACACATATGTGTCCATTATGTGGCCCTAGTTTATTAGCTCAGTCTCTAAAACTATTCCATGCATGTGTTCACCTGTTGATCACCCTGCCTTCTTCCTTATGTGTGTTTCATTCATTGCTGTGGTCCCAGTGCCTAGAATAGTCCCTGCAAAATAGCTTGAGACACATTTGTTGAATAAATAAACCAAATGCTTAAAAAAAAAAAAATTACTTGTCTTTAATAGCAAAATCACACTATGGAAAATTGGGAAAATCCAGAATACAAAATACAGAAAGGACAGCTCCGAATTTTTACGAACATTTTGATCATCAAAGCATGAGTTGCACCTGCCCTCCTTTCCGTGTCTCCTGTGTGCATGCAGGGCTGTCAGTGGTGTGTCTGCGTGTCAATGACATGTTAGTGTGCATGCATAGATAGCCCTTCCTGCCTTCCTAAGGGGTCTCGGCCCCTCAGGTCTCCCTAACTCCTAATCTGCCCTTCCGCACCGTCCTGTTCCTGAGAACAGCTCTTCATGGAGGGCCTTTAGTGGGCCCGGGGGTGGTAAACATTAAGGCTCTGCAAGGTAACCATGAGGTAGCTGTGGTCTTCTTCATTTCCAGATGTGAGGATAGGGCCTCCGAGAGGCTGGCTCATGTCACAGAGGCCATACAGCTGGTGAACCACGATTCCAAAGACCTAAAGATGCCAAGGCCTGGGTTCTCTCTACCCGTGGTCTTCAGGCTGCTCCAACCTGATTACTTGCCTACTGGCAAGGTGCTGCCCAGAGGGTCCGGATCTCATTAATGAAAGTTAAGAGGGGGGTCCCTGGGTCGGGGGTTGGGGGTGCAGTCACATCCACCAGTCCATGGACTCTTTGGGCAAGGCCCTGACAATGACCATACAGTGGGGTAGCCCCTTAGACAAGATTCTTTCTGCCTCCTGACCCTCCCAGCCCAGTCCCTGCAGCTCAAGGACCCTGAGCTTAGGCATGGTGAGGCAGGAGGCGAGGATCTCCTGCGGGGAAGGCATTTCTGGGGTAACAAGCGGCCCCAGCAGGCACAGACTCTCCAGGGCTGGCATGCCCTCCAGGACAGATAGGCCAGGGGCCGAGAGGCCCCGTACGGTCAGCCGGATCTTACGCACGTCTCGGAGGTGGCGGCTGATGGCCAGGAGGGTGCTGTCGGCCGAGAGGGTACAGCCCAGCACCTCCAGCCTCTGCAGATAGTTCAGCTCCTGCAGGCCCATATCCAGCCCGGTCTCGGTCACCCGGTAAGTGCCGCCCAGCACCAGCGAGCGCAGGGCGCGGAAGCGCGTGAGGCCCTGCAGGTGCTCGTCGCGGAAGGCGGGGACGCGGTCCAGCACGATGCGCTCCAGCAGGGGCAGCACCGTGGGGTCCTGCTCTTTATGGAGCCAGGCCATGGAGATCTCACAGCTGTGCAGCTCCAGGGTCCGCAGGGTGCAGGGCAGGCTGGCGATGGGCACCATGCTCAGGTTGGCCACGTGCAGGCAGAGGCGCTGGAGGTTGGGGCACTTCTGACCCAGGGCCCTCATCAGGGCAGGGGACAGCTGAGGAGCCTGGGAGCCTGAGAACAGGTAGCCGCCCATCCGCAGGGAATGGAGCCTGGATGCCATGTACCGGCGGAGAAGGTGCCACATGACTTTGGGCCGCATCTGTAAGAGCCAGAGGTGGGAGGGTGTCTGGACCAGAGATATGGAGCATCTTGCAGGGACCCCGCCCGCCTGGAGACAGACAAGCCCCAGCTGGGGTTCTGAGGCTCCCTGGGAATTCTGTCCTTCCCTCCCCAGCCTCACTCAACCAGATGCCTTTCCAGGAGTAACAGGATGGTTTAACCCCACCATTTTGACCTCTAAGTTTGAACAAAAGCAATGGTGGATATCATCATAATATATCTGTCTTTACCAGGACAGTGAGTCTCATTACTTTCTGGAATAAGTAAGAAAGTGAAACAACAACAAAAAGCCTGTTTCTAAACCTTTCAACTCCTTGCACAATGAAAACCACTGTGATCTATATATATACCCTAGGAAAATGTTACTACTGTCTAATTTATGAAGTAATACTATTGACTCCAGGTTTAATAAAACTTTATATCTTTTTAAGATTTTTTCTTAAAAGTGAATCCACCCAGCAATATTTTTATTTCTTTCTTTTTCTTTTTTTGGCATCCCATGTGGTATGTGGGATCTTAGTTCACCAACCAGGGATCAAACCCTCGCCTCCTGCAGTGGAAGTCTGGAGTCTTAACCACTGAACCACCAAGGAAATGCCTATCCCATTCTTAATGACCACCTCCTCATAGAAATGAGCAACACAAAATAAAAACTGAAAAAGGTTAAAACTGCCCAGGGTAAATTAGATCTAGGTTAAAAAAAAAAAAAATCATAGCTTAGTAATAGTGAAAGCTGCAAAATTAAACCCTGGGAAGTTAGACTTGTAGAAAACAAACAAACTATAACTAACTAGTATTTCATGTATTTTATTGTATGTACAGTTTACCTTTAAAAAAAAAAAGAAAAAAGAAATTGCATACCATAGAATTTGTTGACTTGTTTTGGTAAATATGAATTTTTTATTAGCAAAATCTATGACCAGGCAAGACAATAGTCTGCTGTCTCTCAGCTACTCCTTTTCTGTTGGGTTCCTGGTATTCCTAATCCTTTTGTTCCTAAATTCATGTTTTTCACACTTTCATTGAAATATAGTTGATTTACAGTATGTTATAATGTATTAGTTTTGATGCAGAGAGAAGTGATTCAGTGATTGCTATTTTGGTGTACAGCAATATATATATTATATATATACATGTATATATATAATATATATGTAAAAGTGAAAGAGTTAATCACTCAGTCATGTCTGACTCTTTGTGACTCCATGGACTGTCACCCACCAGGATCCTCTGTCCATGGAGTTCTCTAGGCAAGAATACTAGAGTGGGTAATCATTCCCTTCTCCAGGAGACCTTTCTGACCAGGGATCAAACCCAGATCTTCTGAATTTCAGGCAGATTCTTTATCATCTGAGCCACCAGGTAAGTCTACATGTGTATATGTATATATATATATATGGGTGAATATATATATATATATATATGGCTGGATATATATATATTTTTTACATTCTGTTCCATTTTAGGTTATTACAAGATATTGCGTATTGCTCCCTGTGCTATACAGTAGGTCCTTGTTGGTTATCTATTTTCTATATAGTAGTATGTATATTTTAATCTCAAACTCCTAATTTATCCCTCCCCCCTGTTAACTACTCTTGATAGAGGAATCAAATCTTAATGGTCAAATTTAGACCTGCAAATTTGGGCTGAGGAAAGGGACTCACTAGAAACACTGGCTACTAAAAGGTAACTCACAAGAGTGGAAGCCACTGTTGGCAAAATATCAAATGGCTGCAAAGCCAGAAGTTGAGTCATTTTTACTTTTAAAAAGACAAAATCAGAAAATCCTTTAAGTTTCATGATATCAAACACTAGCCAGGATGTGGAGAAGCAGTTCTTGGGTCCTGCTGGTGGGACTTGGTCTGGCTACTTTGAAATGCAATCTGGTTTTTACTGAAATTTAAAACATGGACACCCACTGGCACCTGTTCTGTTTTTAAAAATACGGGACTATCTACTGCCTTTCTGGGAAAGAACAAGGTGACTTGGGTGACAGAAGCAGGGAGAGACCTTACTTTCCAATGTTTATAATTTTGTACATTTTCAATCCTGTGCATTTATCTTTGGCTCCTCCCTCACTTATGTTTTTTAAATGAATTCTTTAGCTGGTTTAAATGAACACACTGCCTAACCTAGTAATACCTGTTTTGTGGAATTTACCTTACAGAAACGTTGGTTTCTGACATCCTGGTTTTAACAGCAAAAATGTCCAGTGATAACAGCCATATAGATAGCAACTAAGAACAAAGAGGATTCAAAGATTCAAACATGGGTAACTCCTCCAGACATGCAGGAAGGAGTGGTAAAAGGATACCTTCAAGGTTAAAGAAAAAAGAAACAATAGTATTTTTGTTGTTTAGCTGCTAAGTCATGTCTGATTCTTTTGTTACCCCATGGACTGTAGCCCAACAGGCTCCTCAGTCCAAGGGATTCTCCAGGCAAGAATACTGGAGTGGGTTGCCATTTCCTTCTCCAAGGGATCTTCCTGACCCAGGGATTGAACTGGTGTCTCTTATGTTGCCTGCACTGGCAGGCAGATTTTTTTACCACTAGCCCCACCTGGGAAGACTATTATACATATATATTATAATTTATATGGGTACAATTATTTCAACCATAATGGTTAACTTGTATTGAGCAACTACTGTTTGCCAAACGCAGTGCTGCGCATTGAACTAGAAAGACCTTGCACAGCAGGTCTCCGTCCCCACCCCCACCCCCTCACCTGAAAAAACGCATTGGCCGAATCTTGCTGCAAGAGTACAACTATGATTCAACACAGCCTGACCCCAAAGGCCAATCCTGCTCTTGTGACCACTGCCCTTTCTTTCCCTATAAAGCCCCAAGGGTTCAAAAGCATAGAAAATGCTACAGAAGGAAATTCCACATAATAGTGGTTATTCTGGGGAAGGGTAGAGATACCAGGGGGTGACTGTCAAAGGCTCTTAGCTTCATTTGTGACAATATTTCAATGTTTTTTTGGTTTTGTTTTGTCTTAATTTAGATATAATTAACATATAACACTATATTAGTTTCAGGCATACAACGTAATGATTCAGTGTTTGTATGTATTATGACATGATCATCACAATAAGTCTAGTTAATAACCATCACCATACATAGTTATACCACTTCCACATTTTTGTAAGAATTATTCATGTGTGATTTTTAAAAATTAAACCTCAAAAAGAGAAATGTAAAACAAATGTCCTAGTTAATCTCTATTATGTGTACTAAAGTGTTTTAGAAGTGGACTCATCTGCAACTGATTTTGAAGCATACTTAAAAAATAAAATAGGAAAACAAAATAAATAAAAATTTAAAAAATAAAATAAAAGTTTTATGGAAAGAGGGATGGATGAAGAGATGATAAAACAAATGTACTAAGTATTAGTGGTGGGCAACTCCGTGTTCTTGGTACTGTTGTTTTAACTATTATATACGTTTGAAAGTTTTCATAATAAAATAGTCTGGTGGCTTGGAGGTAAAGAATCCACCTGTTAATACACTGGGTCGAGAAGATCCCCCAGAGGAGGCAATGGCAACCCACTCTAGTATCCTTGCCTGGGAAAATCCCATGGACAGAGGAGCCTGGAGGGCTACAGTCCATGGGGTTGCAAAAAGCTGGACACAAATGAGTGACCAACACCAACAGGTGATTCATATGCAGGTGATTCAACAGGTGATTCAACAGGTGATTCTCAAACAATAAAGTTTGAGACACGGTCTTACAAAGCTGTTTGTGATAGTAGAAAGTTGGAAATAATCTAACCATCTGTCAACAGGAAAATAAAGAAACAAACTGTGGTATATTCATTTAACAGCAATTAAAAGGAATGAGTTAGATTTACAAGTACTAATTAGAATAAATCTCAAAAGTGATGTGTGAATAAAGTTGTTTATGGGTGGATATATTAATATAAGTAAAATAGCACTTTATTATCTAAAAAGTAGAAGAGTTTTATCTCAATTTTAGAAACACATTAACAACACTGTATGTATATTGCTTATAAACACACACATAGGCAGTAAATAAAAACATGAAGGGATACAAATCCACTTTATAGTCCCAGTTATCTCTGAGGAGGGTTTCAAAAGTGCAAGAAACATATGTGCAAATGTTGTATGCATGTTTGTATGGAAACATTTGTATGTGTATTTCACAAGATCTGCAGTGAATAAGGCCAAAGGTTTAAAAAGATTAAAACTAGGTGGTGGGTACATAGTTTCAGATATTATCCTCTATACATTTCTATATCTATTTGAAATAGTTCATAATAAAAAGAAAAATGTAAAGGGCCAATTCATTGGAAAAGACCTGATGCTGGGTAAGATTGAAGGCAAAAGGAGAAGGGGGCAGAAGAGGATGAGACGGTTAGAGAGCATCACTAACTCAAAGGATATGAATTTGAGCAGACTCCGAGAGACAGAGAAGGACAGGGGAGCCTGGTGTGCTGCAGCCCATAGGGTCGCAAACAGTCGGGCAACTTAGCGACTGAACAACAAAGAAAAACAAATAAAGCCCAAGCGGGAGAAAGTTGAAATGATTTGGTTGACTACTCAGGAGATTAATTCTAGAACTAAGTTGACCCTATAGAAAATTTCTCCAGGGAAACTCATCAATAAGCTCTTTTCCTGCAAGACCTTGGTTATACCCACTCTGGAGATGGGGAAGCTGAGGCCTGGAGGTCACTGCACAGCAAGTAAGGGACGCGGGCGGGACGCACCCGGGAGAGCCTCGCTCGAAACACAGGGCTGGAGGCGTGGTCCTCGAAGTCTGACCAACCCGACCTCGGCCCAGGACTGCCCGGCCAGACCCGCATACCGTGTAGAGCGTCAGGTCGACGTGTCGCCACAGCCACCGGTCGTCCACCAGCTTCTTCCAGTGGTGACAGACCCTGGGGGAGGGGACCCGCTGTTAGAACGACCCCGACTCCGCGAGGACCAGATGTGCATCTCCTGGTGCGCCCCCCGCCTGGCCCTTCCCTCCCGCAGGGGGCGGCCGCACCTGGAGATTCGGATCCGATCCCGGACCGGGAGGTAAGAGAAGATCTCCAGCAGGACCGAGTCGGGCAAGTCGGCAAAAGTCGCCATGATCCAGTTGACACGCACTTCCGCTTCCGTCTAAAGGAACTCGGGGACTCGCCCTGTGGGAGCCCTAAGAAGCGGGGGGAAGAGAGGGTGCGTAGAGGGAGGTGGTCGCAGCTTCCGGTAGCTGCCGGAGTTTCGGCTTTCCTCTTGAGGGGATGTGGCTGGACCTGGGAGCCAGACCAGCACGGTATCAGAACTCTGCACAGAGGATTGTGACGGGGCCTGGGACCAAGCCCGGGAGGCGTGGCTAAGGCAATGACGAAGTCCAGGGCGGGGTTAAGGGTGGGAACAAGACTCGGAGGCGTGGCCGGAGAGGCGGGCCAAACACAAAAGCCGCGGCTCGGAAGTTGTTGAGGCCTGGGGCGGGGTTAAGGGCGGGAACGAGACTGGGGGCGTGGCTGGAGATTAGGACCAAGCTCCTGCGTGAGTGGGATCCCTAAACGATGGGGTTGAGTGCGGGACCGAAAGCGGAGCGCTAGGCGGAGAGGGAAGTCCCCCCCCTTTTTTTTAAACTTAATAATGCTTTTTTGTGCATGAGAATACATTTGTAGAAGTGAAATAGCTTGTTAAAAGACACTGAATTTTTTACTTTTACTGATGGCGCCAAATTGTTCTCCACAGAGCCTGAATTGACACTTCCTCCACATATATAACACTCATTTTTAAAGTTGCCAAGTCATAAGGGTAGTAAATTTATTCAAACACTCCTGTATTGATGAGTATTCAGCTTGCTTCCAGGTAAGCTAAACAATACTGGAGTTAAACATTCTTTTATATACATATATTAGTTCAGTTCAGTTCAGTGGCTCAGTCGTGTCTGATTCTTTGCGACCCCCATGGACTGCAGCTCGCCAGGCTTCCCTGTTCATCACCAACTCCCGGACTTTGCGCAAACTCATGTCCATCGAGTTGATGATGCCAGCTAACCACCTCATCCTCTGTTGTCCCCTTCTCCTCCTGCCTTCAATCTTTCCTAGCATCAGGGTCTTTTCCAATGAGTCAGTTCTTTGCATCAGGTGACCAAAGTATATATACATACATATATAACATATACTAAGATCCCACAAGCTGTACAGCATGGCAAGACAAACAAAATCCCCAACAAACAAAAAAACGTGTATTGCCATTATAGGCTCTTGAAAGTGTGATTTGGCAAAAGCTATTCAAAATTAAACTTCACATGTCCTTTGACACATCAATCCAATTCCTTGTTTTATTTATCAAATAGAAATAAATTGTATTTCTAATAGAAACATAGAAAGTATATATTACACACACACACACACACACACACACACATATATAATAGCTTTTGCTAAATCACACTCCCAAGAACCTATAATGGTAATACATGGTTTTTGTTTATTTGTTGGGGGCTTTGTTGTTTTGCCATGCTGTGTAGCTTGTGGGATCTTAGTTCCCTAAGCAGGGACTGAAGCCAGACCCCTGCAGCAAAAGTGCTGAGTGGACCACCAGGGAATTCCCTGGCAAAATATGTTTTTAATACACGCACACACAGAAGAAATTGTGTATGAAATGCAAAACTGGGACTTCCCTGGTCGTCTAATGGTTGACGTGGTGGTCCACTGGACTCTGGTAGTCCAGGGGTTTCTGGTTTCCGCGTCTTAACAGGTGACTACCACAGTGTTTTACTTTTTATGTATTTATTTATGGATAAGTGAAAGCAATATAGGTTTTTTAAGCTTTATTCAGATATAGTTGATAGATAGTTGCAGAAATTTAACACCTACATCTAAGAGTTTGCTTTTTTAAATTTTCTTTTGGCCAGCTGTACAGTGCATGTGGGATCTTAATTCCCCCACCAGGGATCCTGCAAATGTCATGTCGCTTGCTAGGGCCTCAAGTCCAGATTTTTCTGATGCCAGAGTGTGGGCCTCTATCTCAGTGCTTTCTGGCTGTGATTCTCTTTAGAAAGCCCATGGCATCATGAAGGGGCAATGCCTCTGTCAGTTACACAGGTGTCCTAGGAACCATCTCCTCCCCATCAAGCAAACAGGAGTGGAAGGGTGGGCACCCCCACATAGAAGCTCTTTCCACTGGGTCAGAAACTTAGGTAATAAGGGGCAGAGGGGCCCTGCCCAGCTTGAGCCTTGAGTTGTGACTCAGAACTCTCCTTCCTAGGAAGAACCTAGCTCCTCCCAGTAGCAGATGACAGCAGATCCTTTTGAGGCCCAGATGGGAGCATGGGGCTGTCCTGACCCCCAGTGGGCAGGTATTGAGTCTCTTCGTGAGAAGTTCTGAATGACATTTATCAGGAAATAGAGAAGTCTCTAATGTGAGTCTGGAGAAGGAAATGGCAACCCATTCCAGTACTCTTCCCTGGAAAATCCAATGGACGGAGGAGCCTGGTAGGCTGCAACCCATGGGGTCGCTAAGAGTCGGACTCGACTGAGTGACTTCACTTTCACTTTTCACTTTCATGCACTGGAGAAGGAAATGGCAACCCACTCCAGTGTTTTTGCCTGGAGAATCCCAGGGATGGGGGAGCCTGGTGGGCTGCCATCTATGGGGTCGCACAGAGTCGGACACGACTAAAGCAACTTAGCAGCAGCAGCAGCAGCAGCAGCTCTAATGTGAATTGTCCTGTCTCCTAAGGCCTTTCCCCCTCCCACCCAGCTCTGGAGGAGAGTCCTTGCAGCAGTGGCAGCCTAGTCCTGGGACTTCCCACGGCCCATTCCCTCCACTTCCTCAGAATGCCTTAGCCCAGTTGGGACTGGCAGGCCCCCAGTAGATCCCCAAGTTCCCAACAACCCCAGGCTTTATTTCTCTCCCCTTGCAGCAGCACTCTTTACCCCTTTTCATTCTCCCCCAGCCCATAAGCTCAGCATCATAATCTTGTGCTTTAGTTATCTTTTTGATAATTAAAAAAATTTTTTTTTTAATTTGTGGGGTTTCTTTTGAGGAGAGGGAGTTCTTTCTTTCTTTCTTTTTCTGTGTTGCATGGCTTTCAGGATCTTAGTTCTGCAGCCAAGGACCCAGGCCTTAGGCAGTGAGAGAGTAGAGTCCTAACCACTGGACCACCAGGGAATTGCCTAGCTACCTTTGAATCAAACATAAAAAATGAGTGAGAACTTTTTTTTAAAAATAACACTTAACTTCCCTGGTGGTCCAATAGTTAAGACTTTGTGCTTCCACTGCATTGGGCATGGGTTCAATCCCTGGTCAGGATGCTGATTGAATATGCTGTGCGGTACGGCAAAAAAAAAAAAAAAACCCAAAATTTCTTCTGGGACTTCCCTGGAGGTCTAGTGGTTAAGAATCTGCCTTGCAATGCAGGGGACCGGGGTTCAATCCCTGGTCGGGGAACAAAGATCCCACATACGGCAACTAGGACCCCATGCAGCCAAAGCAATCAATAAATATTTTTTAAAACTTTATTTTCCCCCTCATTACAAGAGTAACATATGTTCATTGTCGATAACTGGGAAAACACCAAAAGCACCAAAAAGAGGAATATGGACTCAGCAATTCCGCTGTCTAGTGGTCAACACCATCAACGCCTGGTGTGACCTAGTTTTTCTATGCGAATGCAAAGATGTGCTCTTTCTAAACTTCCCCAGGCACATCAGTCCCTTCAAGCTTACCCCTTACCTTCCATCTCCCTTCTTGCCCCACCTATTCTTCTGGATAAGGAAAAGAAGAATCAGAGAGGGGAAGTGTTGAGATCATGTGTGTGCATGTTTGCATGCTAAGCCGCTTCAGTCGTGTCTGACTCTTTGCAACTCCATGGACTGTAGCCCACCAGGCTCCTCTGTCCATGGGATTCTCCAAGCAACAATACTGGAATGGGTTGCTATTTCCTTTCTCCAGGGGATCTTCCCAACCCAGGCAGGTGTATTCTTTACCACTAGCGCCATCTGGGAAGCCCGTTGAGACCATGCAGCTTAATATTAAGGAATGAGGCTGAGGTTTCGATTCATCATCTGGATCTGTGTCTGCAATCTGAATAAACTTTCCATTAAGATTCCCTGCCCTCTGAAGCTCACTCAGTGGGATTCTGCAGAGGTTGGAGAAATAACAGATTTCTGCCCTGAGGCAGAAAAAAGAAAAAGTCCTGAGGCAGGAAGGCCCCTGAGTCTAGTGTTTGGGGTGGTACTTCTTGAGCCAGTTCCTTAAGTCAGAGCAGCCCCGACAGGGTCGCAGAGCATTCCTTTCCCCAGGAAGGTATCGCACGTCTTCTGCCTAATCTCACATCCTATTTTGAGAAGGTGGATTGGGTGAATCAGAGGTTGCTGGCCCCTTTTCAGAATGAATCCTTTTAGGCTCGTCAAACTAGGAGAATCCTGTCTGCTGAGAAGAAACAGTTCAATAGTGAGTTCGACAGGCAGGTTGTACTTAGGAAGGGGTGTTCCCTGTCCCACCAGCCCTGGGGAACCAGATCAGTCCAGGGGCTGCTCTGGGGCTGAAAAGCAAGCTTGGGATTTGATACACAGTGCCCTCTGCAGGGCAGGAGCGACCTTCCTTGAAGACGAAGACCTGGGAGCTGTCGCACGTGTGCTGTTTTCCAGCTTCCTCATCAGTGCTGCATTCTGGTAAGTGCTGAACTCCATTCTGGAGTGCTGGTACCCAGGCCAGAATCAGAAGACTCCTTACTTACTGATTGTAGTCAGCACCTCAGATGTCCCTAGGGGCAGGCGAGATAGCCAGAGGGGAGGGATGAGCAAAACGCTTCCGGGGTCCAGCCCTGAATGAAGGCGGGGGGGCGGATAGTACAACTGCAGGACTTGATCCAGGCTCCCCGTAGCCCTGAAGTTGCTGTTAGAGGTTTCGTCGGGCTCTAGAACAGGAGGTCAACCCTGTTCTCCCGGGATGTGCCTGGGCGTCCCCACCAGATGCTACACTAGACGGTGTCTCGGCACAACGAAGGGCCTTCAACCAAGGCTCTCCGAAAGGTTGGGCGCCAGTCCAAGACCTCTGACACTCCACTCCTCTCCCTAGCCGGGACCCTCACTTGGGCCCAACGCTCCGTTCACAGGTGTCTCCCTGCTCAGGCTTGGGACCCCAAAACCGCTTCTGGGAAATGCAAGCCCACGTCGTACCCTGGGATGAGCACTCCGCTGCGTGTTGACAGCCACTGGGGGGCGGAGCTTCCGGCTGCGCACTTCCGCTTCCTGTTTTAGCGAAGGTTCTTAGCGGCGACTCTGGCCTGGTCTCAGCAGCAGTGCGAGGAGGTTGTGGCGTCTGCTTCTTCCAGGCTATTTGAGGTGAGGGGGCCAGGTAGAGGAGTCCGGAGTCGGGGAAAGGGGATGGGACCTGGTCTTCGAGGATCCGCCAGCCTGCGAGAGGCTCGGCTCGGTCTTCAGGCTACCTGAAGTGGGTCGGGGCCTGGGCGGGTTACTGGAGGGGAGGAGCACGGCTGCCCGGCGTCCGCGGTAGCCCTGGGGTCCGAAGTCCTGGGACACGGAACTTGGGGCCTGGGGAGACTCCAATCTGGGGGAGTGATGGGGACGGGGAGTAATGGGGACGTGAACGTTAAGTCTCAATAACCGAGGGTCTTGGTGCCTAGGGCACCCCTGAAGTCCCGATTCAGTTGCCTCCCGGTCCCCGCCTTGTGCTGCTCCAGCCAGGATGATCGAGGTTGTTTGCAACGACCGTCTGGGGAAGAAGGTGCGCGTTAAGTGCAAGTATCCACTGGCGACCAAGAGGCTGTGGCTTCCGGGGGATGCTTGGCATGAGGCAGGCAACTCAGTCTTTGTTTTAGGGTGATTGTAGTTAAACCCGGGGGGTTGGGGCGGGGATGGGGAGAGTCCCTTTCCATTTTCCTTAACTCCTCCGCGTCCAGTACGGATGACACCATCGGGGACCTTAAGAAGCTGATCGCAGCCCAAACTGGCACCCGTTGGAACAAGATCGTACTGAAGAAGTGGTGAGTACAGGGGTAGAGCTAGGGGTTGGACAGGAGCGGGCCAGAAGGGTTTGGTTGGGGGAGGGCTGCAGCCAGCCATTTGTTTAGGCAGAACTTTTTCAGCTGGTCTCTGGGGCGAAGAGTCTCCTTAGACATTTTTCTAAAAAGTTTTTATCCCACAGGTACACGATTTTTAAGGACCACGTGTCTCTGGGGGACTGTATCCTTTTTTGACTTCTTGAGGAAGGATCTACATACCCAGACTGGGTTCTCTATGTTCAATACTCGGGTCTGTATGAGATTATGCACTATGCACATAAGCTATTTAACTCATAATGTGGCACATAGTAAGTATTTAGAGAGTGGGAACCATCTAATTATTTTGTTGGGGGAGGAGGGTGGTTGGTGAAATATTTTGACTTCGCTGGTAAGACTTTGACACTTTCTCGTCAAAATATTTATTACTAAGCCCCACCTGAGTGGAGACAGGAGATCGGGGTGGAGCAAGATTCTGGGATGTCTGTTGTGCAGAAGGCACATGAACTTTTTACAGTTTAGATTCTTTCCAAATCAAAATGATCCAGTCCCAAATGTGGCAGTTGTGAGAGATGGGGATGGAGCCCACCGTAAGGGTTCCTTAACACCTTCACTTCAGATGAAATCCACGATGGGATGAACCTGGAGCTTTATTACCAATAGAGCAGAATTCCTTCTTCCTGCCCTTCTCCCTCCTCCCACCCTCACTCCCCACACTAATATGGATGCTTGTTTTTGGAAACTCATGTTAATAAAAACTTAGAGGCCGCTTCGTTGTCATCTTTGAGTGAGAGTTCTCTCTTAAGGGGAGGGTTGGTATCTGGTTGTCACTGTATTCTCAGTACCCACCCAGCTGCTCAGTAATACTTCAAGATTGGATCAAGGAGGGAGCCAGTAGACTGGGAGCCTGAGTGGAGGACCTGAGTTCTGGGGCTAGCCATATGTCTCTGGGTCTCCTTGGTGGCTCAGACAGTAAAGAATCCGCCTGCAATGCGGGAGACCTGGGTTTGATCCCTGGATGGGGACGATCCCCTGGAGAAGAGAATGGCAATCCACTCCTGTATTCTTGCCTGGAGAATTCCATGAACAGAGGAGCCGGGCAGGCTACAGCCCATGGGGTCACAAAGAGTTGGACACAACTGAGGGACTAACACTTTCCTGAAGGTCAAGAGATCGTGGGATTATTGTCATCAATAGACCAAGGATCCTCTGGGCAGGGACCTTAGTAGAAATAATAGTAGTTAGGAATACAGGTTTAGATTCAGACAGACAATGGGTGGAACCCCAGCCCTACCAGGAACTGTGACCCTGGGGAGTTACTTAATCTCCCTTAACCTTCATTTCCTTATCCAATCGAACTGATTGTGTTTACTTCATTGGTATGTTGTGAAGTAGAGATGAGATAAGCATGATTAAGCAGCCACAGTTCTTGGCACCTGTGAAATGCCAGTGGACAGAGTAAAACAGTGTGACCTAAGCTATTCAGCCCTTCCTGATCCTCTGTTTCTTCCTCTAAAAGGGCACCATGATGACACCCACATCTCCATGAGATAATGCAGTTAAAACAGCAGGATGCCCGGTGCTATATCCATCTCTGGGCTTCTTCCTTCAGGTATGAGTAGACGGGACATCAAACACTCCATTTCTGTTCCCTTGGCCAAACCTCCTGAGGTCAGCCTTGACCTTGTCCTTACCCAGAGCCACATTCTGGAGCTGCTTCGAGAGTTTCACCTAGAAGCTTGCTCCAACCCTTCTCCCCTCCCTGTGTATTGACCTGGTAGGTCCTTCCTCAGGACATAACCATGTTCAAGTCTAGTCCACTGCTCCTCCCCTTCCCCCAAGCCTTATGCTTTCTTTTTGCCATCAAGCTTGGGACTCAGTCTTGCGGACTGCCTGGGATGCTGGCCTATAGTCCACTAAAGCTGGTCTCTCCTTGGTCTCCGCTGGCCTCCTTTTTACCTGTCCCCTTGGCTTCGCTACTGTCCCTAGGATTCCCCTTCCTCCTGACAAATCAGAAGTGTCTGTCTGCTGGTGCCCCTGCTCTTTTAGCTCAGTCTCCTCCTTACCTGGCTGCTTAGAAAAGAAACCCCCTCCCCCCAATTCTTTTTTAAATTTCATGACAGACTTGACATGCTGGAGTCCTTGTTTTCAAACTAGCATAGAAAAGTACAAGCTAACAATAAGACCCTGCTCCTGGCCCCATTCTCTCTCCTGAGGGGAAGGCTTTTTCAGTGTATTTATGTAAACTTCCATTTAAAAAATTGTTTTAATTAATATTTATTTTTAGTTATTTACTTGGCAGCACATGGGATCTTTAGTTTGTGTCATGCAAACCTTTAGTTGTGGCTTGTGGGATCTGGTTCCCTGACCAGGGGTTGAACCAGGTCCCCCTGCATTGGGAGCATGAAGTCTTAGCCACTGGACCCCCAGGAAGTCCCCAATTTAATTTTTTAAAAATTTACTATGCTAATATCTGCTTGTAAAAAAAAATCCATGTTTTGAAAAAAATTAAGTTTCTTACTTTTATAACACCCCTACTGACAGTGGCAATAATTAACATTTGAGTGAATCCAGAAATTTTCTGAAATACAATTGGAAAAATTATACATTCTGTAATATTTGTATACCATTCAGTAGTTTTTTCTTTTTTTATGCTTTTCATCTTTCTATATTAATGATTTTTTTGGTCTCATTCTTTTTAATTGGTGTTTTTATTGATTTTTTTTTTTTTTTTTTGCTTTTTTTTATGTAAAAGGGCAGTATGGATGAGGGATTTTTGTGGTGATGGAATTGCCACACCTGGAATTATGGTGGTGGATGCAGGACTCCAAATTTGTCAACCAGGATATAGAAAGATCAAATGCAGCCAGTCAAACAGATCCATATGTATAAGTGAATTATAAGACCCCACCGAAGGAGGTGGGGGAGAAAGGAGCTGATCTAAATAATTTTGGAAAATGTATTTTGATTTGATACTATAATGCTAAAGACAAAAAGAATTACACAAACACTGTACTGTAGTTGGTAAATATGTTCCTCACAGCAGAATGATTTTGCAATTTCAAATCCAGTCCTACTAATATACATCTGTACACACACAGAGTTGGATATATATATTGCAGATAATTATACATATAAATATACATATACTGCAGATAATTAAGCCAGGTGTCTTGCTGCTGAAGAAAGAAGTTACTGTGAAAGAGGGTGAATAGAACCCCATGGGACTGATTAGAGTTGGAGGCATCAGTATGAACTCATGTTATGAACTCATGGTTTGCATTTAAAATGTTTACAGACACACACAGAAATACAGATGTGTGCATATGTACATACATTTCCTTGCTTATCCATTTAGAAGGACCAGAAGCAGTGATACCCCAGTATCAATAGTTCCAGGTCTTGGTTTCTTTATATATATAATTTTACTTTTCATTTATTTTTGGCTGTGCTGGGTCTTCATTGCTGCTCAGGCTTTTCTCTAGTTGTGGTGAGGGGGACTACTTTCCATTGCAGTGCATGGGTTTCTCATTGCAGTGGTTTCTCTTGTTGCAGAGCACAGGCTCTAGGACACAGGCTTCAGTAGTTGCAGCTGCCTGGCTCTAGACACAGGCTCAGTAGTTGAGGTGCACAGGCTTAGTTGCTCCACAGCATGTGGGATCTTACTGGGCCAGGGATCAAGCCTATGTCTTCTGCATCGGCAGGTGGGTTCTTTACCACTGGACCTTCGAGGAAGCCCCAGATCTTGGTTTCTAAACAATATTCTCCAATAAAAGGAACCAGGGTTTCTGGGAGAAGTGATTGATTCCTGAGCTAGAGCAGGGAAAATTCAAGCTCAGGGTGGAGCATCTTGAGGTAAGAAGTACTCAAAAATGATAGAAGCATGTTGAAAGAGCGCAGAGGCCAATCTGTGAAAAAGCTCTCAGTGGCCAAATGTAGAACAACTTGAGCAACAAAAGAATAATATTGGACTATAACCCAAAGAATAAAATAAATATCTTCAAGCCCAAGCTCATAGAAATAAATAGCTGAAAGTGTAAATGAGTGGGGAAGAAGGGATAACCCTTCACTACAAAAGGATTTCAATTAATTGTAGAAGGAAAGAGGAAAATAAGAACTCACCAATGTTTTTTTAAAAAAAATTACCAATCCTTGCATCACCATAGTAATTATTGCTGTAGGCAAGATGCACTAAGAGATGTTAAAATTTGGGGGTAAAAGTTTAAGTAGAAGGATATTTGCACAGACTCAAAAGTATCTTCCAAAAGTATTTACTTATTACAAAAGGGAAAATAGTTCAGATACTGTCTTAACCAAGTGATCAAAAATACCACCAGGTGTGGGAGGTGACCTCTAAGATGGCCCCTGATGAGCTAGGACCACACTCATACTTTTGTGTAATCCCCTCCTCTTAGGCCAGACCTAACTTCCAACATTATGGCAAAAGTGATGGGATATTGTTTCTGAGATTAGTTGTGAAACGTAGTTTCCATCTTGCCCTCTTGCTCATTGATGAAAGCCAGTCAGATACTATGTTGTGAGCTGCCCTGTTGACCCCCAGCCAATAGCCAGTGAGGAACTGTGGTCTTCAATTCCACACTGTTAGCAACTAAATCCTGCCAGCAACTAAATGAGGGTGCCTGGAAGCAGATCCTGCCTAGTCAAGCTTTGGGATAAGACCATTGCCGCTCCTGCTGACACCAGCTAAACTGCACTCCATTCCTGACCCATAGAAATTGAGATGGCAAATGTTAATCCACTAGATTGTAGGCTAACATGTTAGACAGCAATAGAACTCTAGTACAACCAGTAATACATTGCAACGTCATTAATCGCCCAGTACAATGCACTGAGAATGGCATATCATCTTTGTGGTGTCCTTCCCAATGATGTATGTGCTGGTGGTGCTTAGTTGCTCAGTCATGTCCAACTCTTTGTGACCCCATGAACTGTAGCCCACAAAGCTCCTCTGTCCATGGGGATTCTCCAGGCAAGAATACTGGAGTGAGTTGCCATGCCCTTCTACAGGGGATCTTCCCAACCCAGAGATCGAACCCAGATCTCCTGCGTTGCAGGTGGATTCTTTACCATTTCAGCTACCAGGGAAGTCCAAACCTCAATAAATCATGAGAAAAGATCAGACAGACATCATCATGTCCAAACATCAGAATGAAAGCCATTAAAAAAAAAAGTGAAAGCCCTTGTACGCTTCAAAAGTATCGAGATCATGAAAGACAAGGGAAGGCCTAGAAATGGTCACATCCTGGAGGAGGATATTACTAGGGAAACAGGATGTTCTTTTAAAATCTAGTTTAGTTAATTGTATAGGACCAATATTGATTTCTTAGTTTTCACCATTATTCTGTGGCAGAATTTCTCAGTTTTGGCACTGTTAACATTTGGGGGGATAATTCTCTGTTGTGGAGGCTGTACATTGCAGGCTGTTCAGTAACATCCTCGGCCTTCACCCACTAAATGCAAGTAGCCCCTCTCTCCTTTTGTGACAACGAAAAATGTCTTAAACTTGCCACATGTCCCCTGGGGAACAATATCACCCCTGGTTGACAGCCTTTATTCTATTACGTAAGATGCTAATGTAAGGGATGGCTGGGGAAGGACTTTGAGAACTATACTACTTTTGCAGTCCAGCCCTAAATCTAAAATTATCTTTAAAAAAAAGATTATTATGCTAATACATGCTTGTTTAAAAAGTCAGAATGTTATACCTTAAGTTCCTCATTTCTTCCTTCACCTGCATCACCAATATTAGTCATTAACAT